GGAAGGATGGAAGGCTGAGTCAACCTTGAGCTGGTGAGATTAGAACCGCTAAACTGCAGATAACAGTCAGCTGAAGTGGCCTGCAATACTGCACCCTAACCACTGCGCCACCTCGGCTCTAGCCTCCTGAAGGCTCCAGAGGGCGAAAAACAGCCCTACGAGCAAACCAGAAGTGACTTCCGGTTTGGCTGTAGGGCCATTTTTCGCCTTCCAGAGCCTTCAGGAAAGCTCGTGAAGCCTCCAGAGGGCCAACAGGAGGATGGGGGTCACTGTTTTCACCTTCCCCAGGCTCCTAGAAAGCCTCTAGAGCCTGGGGAGGACAAAAAAAAACTGTGCCAAAAACGGGGGGAGCGCTGGTCGTGCGTGCATGCGCATGGGTGGGTCTTGCACGGGTTGAGAGCATAGCATTATGGGTGTGGACATGCCTACACACGACCCCCCCTGCGTTCCCCCCGCTTTTGGCGCGCGATCCAAAAAAGGTTAGTCATCACTGGTGTAGGGTCTCCTGCTTGAGCATGGGGGTGGACTACATGACCTATAAAGTCCCTTCCAACTCTGTTAATCTGTTAAAACCACTGCTGTAGGTGTTTCTTTTCCTTTGGATTGATCTGACCCTGTCTGTCACGGAGTATTGAATGTGACTCATTGACTTGAACTGCCAATCTCCTCCAGTTCTCTTGCTTTGTCCCACCTTCCCAGGAAGGAAATCTCAGATGGAGGAAGTTCAAGATGAACTCATTCACCGTCTCACCATTGGTCGGAATACTGCCCAAAAGAAGTTCCAAGTGCCACGCTCCAGTGCCCCCGTAGTCAATATCAACTACGAATCCTCTCCGGAAGACATTAAGGTTTGGCTAGAGGCCAAAGGATTCAACTCAGTGTAAGTCCAAAGGAGTAACCAGCTCTTTTGAATTAAACACAGCTTCAAACAGCTGTATGCTTAGACAAATGACTTTGGACCTGAGGGATATAATGTGGAAATGATTTTATTTTAAGTTACATGAATGTGTAATTGCGTTGTTTCACAATATGACTGGGAAGTTATTGTCACGTGGGAGATTACCAGGCAGAGCCTGAGGGAGAGGTCAAACATGTCATCAGTCATGAGTCCCTGCGTGCCTTCTTTATCTCCTGCTCGTTTCCCGTTAACCGTTAGTAGTTCAGATTCTTGTAGAGAGCTTAAACTTGAAAGAAATCTTTATACTCATTTGAACTGCCTGAATCTCCTGATTTCCCCGGTGTTTGGCATTCCATTTATTTAGTTACTTATTCATCAAACAAAAATTGCACATTCGAATGAATAAAATGAAAAAACCTAAAATGTGACAGGGACGATAGGCCCATTAGTTCACTTGGACCTGCCCCTTTAGGAACCTCCAAAATATGGGATGAAGTTCACGCGAGGTGAACTAGATGCTGTCCGAATCCCATTTTTGTCGTTCCCCAATTAGCTTGGTTAGTTAAGACATGGAATAACGAATTATAGCACAATAACATCTGAAAGATCACAGGTTGCTACCTCCGTCTGCTTCTGTTGATTAATTAGTGTCTGTTCTCTCAAACGTAAAAGGGTCATTGCTCATACGTTATTACTACTCATGCAGGACCGTGAACAGCCTTGGAGTTTTGACTGGTGCACAACTCTTTTCCCTCAACAAAGATGAACTTAAATCTGTGTGCCCAGAAGGAGCGCGAGTCTACAGCCAAATTACTGTTCAGAAGGCGGCACTAGATGTAAGTGGTGAACATGTTATTCCTCTACCACGCTGTGGCACAGGAGATGGTCATCCTGTGCAAAGAAGGGCTTGTGGAGGGAAGTCCACTCTCAATAGACAATTGAGTGGCATTTAAATTCAATGAATAAATAAAGGTGGGCATTTGCCTATCTTAGACCAGGGAGCAAGAAGCCTTCTGCATGTGGGAACCCATCATATTTTTAGCCTTTAAGGGCTCTAGGGCAGGAGTTTCCAAACTTAGCAACTTTAAGACTTGTGGACTTCAACACCCAGAATTCCTCAGCCAGCAAAGCTGGCTTTAATGGCTGTAGGGCAGGGGTTTCCAACCTTGGCAACAGCAGTGGGTTCTGGATCCTGTCGCAACCGGTACGCTGCAATGGGACCAGGAGTCCTCGTCGGGCACACACGCTGCGCACGCATTTGCATGTCACCGCCAAGCGACCTTCAGCTGCTTGGCGGAGGCTGTGCAGGCGCCACACGCTGTGCGCACATGCGCAACTGGCCCGTTTGCATCAAAAAGCAATAAGGAACACAGGCAGGTGGGCCAAATGAGCCACCGTTCCGGTATGGTGGCCGCTGCTCCCAGCTACCACCAGTACGCCCGTACCAGGCCATACCACCCGGAACCCACCACTGCTTGGCAACCCAGAATTCCTCAGGCAAAAGCTGGCTGAGGAATTTTAGAAGTCCACAAATCTTAAAGTTGCCAAGGTTGGAGACCCCTGCTCTAGGGAATTAATGATATTGGTGTGGAAGAAGCCAGGATTTTCTTCCCATTTTTTTAGGGGAGGGATAAAGGTTGAAGAAGGTACGTTAAGTTCCAGAGAGACACTCATGTTACCCCATAAAGTGCCTCCAGAGAGCACTCGCTTTTAGAAGTCTTGGAGGTTTTAAAGCTGCCTTCATCCACTTCAAAGGCTGAAAACATGAGGTGGGCTGGAGGTACTTTGGAGACAGCGAGCCCACAGTCGGCAAATGTCAATTTTTAGCCTATTTACCGTGTTGACCCTCAAAATAAGCACTTGGCCTTATTTTCGGGGAGGTCTTATTATTTTTGAGGTACAGGAGGCAACGAGGGTGGTCACCTCATGGCTGCTGCTGTGTTGCAATATTTTTGGGGAGGGCTTATTTTCAGGGGGAGGGCTTATTTTAGTGCATGCGCTCAAAAACTCAGTTAGACGTATTCTTCTTTTCAGGGAAACAGGGTATAATATGAATTTTCTATGTACAATGGTAGTAAGCTATGGTTTAGTGTTGCATCTAAACCAGCCCATTGAGTCATACACGTAACTATCATACTTTTTGCTTTAGAGCAGGAGTGTCAAATTCAAGGTGCTTACATTTGACCCGCGGGCCCACCCTGGAAACAGCGAAGGACTGGCCCACAGTGCCTCTGCCAGTGTGTAGCCCTCCCGGGCTCCATTTTCGGCCAACACGGCCTCCTGCAACCTTCTGTCAGTGAAAACGGAACTTCGGGAGATTGTGTGCGGCCTCTCCAAGCTCCGTTTTTTCTGGTGGAGGACTGAATGAGGCCTTTGCGGCTGAAAACAGCTTGGGTAGGCTGAAAACAGAGCTAGATGAGTGATGTCAAGCTGGCCATGCCCACTCTGGCCATGCCCCCCCCTTTGGTCCCCCAAGGTCAAACACAACCCTGATGCGGCCCTCAGTGAAATCGAGTTTGACACCCTTGCTTTTGGATAAAATTAAATTTCCAGGTGTTAATGTCTTTGGAGAGTCTCAATCATCCAGGTCATCGTTGTCCCAAAGGTGTTTTTTTCAAAACACAGCTTGACTTTCCTGTTTGTTTTTTTCTCTGAAAACATTTCGCTTGTCTTCCAAGAAACTTCTTCAGTTCGGTTCAGAACTGAAGAAGCTTCTTGGGTGAGAAGTGAAATGTTTTCAAAGGAAAAAACCCAAGCAAAGCACCTTTGGGATTTCCAGGTTTTGTACTGTATACTGGATGTAACTCAGAAGAGTATATTTCTGCAAAAAAAAAAAAAAAAAAAATTTTGTCTCTTTCTACAGAATTCCAGTGAAAGGTCCGAA